CCCTTAAAGTGGACTCAATTTGCACTATTTCTAGCAGTCTGCAATGTATGTTAAACAGAGATGACCCTACTTAGCTTCCAAGATCAGACCTAATCTAGTCCCTTTAGGGCAGGGGTAGGCAACCTAAGGCCCGAGGGCTGGATGCGGTCCCCCAAGGCCTTTGGACCGGCCCCAGCCTGCCCCCCGCAGCTGCTGCCCACCATGATGATATTGGTTATTGTTGTTATTACTTGTTCTTGGGGTTTTCTTGGCAAAATCTCCACAGGGGGTTGGCCATGGCTTTTCTGGGGCTGAGAGAGTGTGCATGCATTTTTTTTAATTTTTTAAAATATTTATTTATTTATTTATTTATGGTGCTTCGGCCCCCCAATTGTCTGAGGGACAGCAACCCGCCCCGGCTCAAAAAGGTCGCCTACCCCTGCTTTAGGGTATTTAGGCCCCTGAGTTCTAATGATATTGTCCTTCCAAGGAAACCGATTCAGGGCCTGAGTATAAACCGGGGATGGGTTGGGATTTAGTCATATCCAGGGGACTCCATGACTGCAGCCTAAAACCCTTTCTTCTGGAGAAGGAAGGGTACGAAACTCATCAAGTTTCCTTGACCCAGATAAAAAAATAACAGTGTTTGTGCCTAAAAAGTTGTACCTAGGATAAAGGATTCGGGAAGCCAACAAACGCTTACCCCACGATCGTATTCACACGTGCAGCCTGAACCTTGTTATTGTTTTCTGCCTTCAAGTCATTTCCGACTTATGGCGACCCTATCATGAGTTTTTCGTGGCAAGACTTGTTCAGAGGAGGTTTGCCATTGCCTTCCCCTGAGGCTGAGAGCATGTGACTTGCCCAAGGTGGGTTTCATGGCCGAGCTGGGAATTGAACCCCTGATCTCATATTGAAGTAAATCTCCCAATAGTCAAGGGTTCAGCCTTGTAGCAGATTCCTGCGTATGTTTACTCAGGAGTCCTCCTGATTTCCATGAGGATTACTCTGGAGTAAGTAAATGGCTTGGGGTTCCGTAGGAGCACATTGGGAGCCGGCTGTGTTTGAATTCAGCAACAAGTTTACTGTTGTTGTGTGCCTTCAAGTCATTTCCGACATATGGCGACCCTATTATGGAGATTTCTTGGCAGGTTTCTTCAGAGAGGGTTTACCATTGCCATCCTCTGAAGCTGAGAGTATGTGACTTGCCCAAGGTCACTCAGTGGGTTTCCATGGCCGAACCCTGGACTCCACTGTTAGGGTTTGTGAATCTAACAAACCCCAATAAGCCAGTTCTTTGGGGCTGTGGATCGGATTTTTCTTTTTCTCACCAATTCTTGATTTTTGGATTTTTTTTAAGACAAAGGAATCTCAATTTTAATCTATTCGGGATTTATTTCCACAATACTTCTACCACAATAGTTTTACACTGCATGGCTGCGATCCGAGGCATGTTTCCTCCGGAAAAGGTCCCACTGGACTCAGTGGGGCTTACTTACTTCTGAATAGAAAACCCCAG